GTTTGTGTTCCTCCCCACGAATGTTGAAGTCTGACAGCTGTTGTCTTCTCTGGTTATTGATAGAAAATGACGTGTGTGGTTCAACATGAGGTCCGCGGGCCTCCTGTTGGACTTTGATATCGTTTTATCTGAATCCTTTCTGATCCTTTATTAAGCAGCTTTTCTGAGAAACCCAGAGAGGAAAGTGCAGACCTGCAGCTGCCGTTCCTTTGCTCCTGTTTGCTTGCATCGCTCACAGAGAGCTTCGGTTTACCTGTTTCTGCTTCACCTGGAGGTTGGGGGCGGAGTCAGCTACATGTGGAGGTTCAGCTGCTGCTGGTGTTCAGAGATCTTAACCCTTAAAGCTCCTCGTTTTTTCAGTCTCACAACGAGTCAGCACATTGTTCTAGAGATGCACGGCGACCACATCGGTGTCGGTCCGATGAACACATGTAGCCGATGACTGTCTAACATCACCGCCTTCGTCTCTACGGTTAATATCGCTGCTATTTCACAGATGTTTTTACTGAAAGGGTCCTGGACATAAATATGTTTTGTTACGTAGTAAAGCAGACTATGTGGTCTGATCTGGGCTTCTTCAGAACAGTCTTCATGTTCTCACTCTTAAACTCATTGTTCGGTGTGAACAACAGTCGAACATCGACATCGGTGATATCGGTTATCGGTGACATCAGAAGTCTAAACATCGGCATCGGCCAGACATTTTAATATCGTGCATCAACACATTTTTCTCATCTTATTTCAGTTTGTTGCACAAAACTCACAGCTTAGTTCAGCAGAGAAAACTCAAGGAGCGCCTACATTAGCGTTTCTGTGTTTTCTTGTGTTTGTAATTGTGAGTGGAGCAGCTCTGCAGCGCTTCACTGGACTCTGTCTAGATAGCTTCAGTATCTGCTCTGTATTCTGGTGGTAAACTAACGGCGCTACGTAATGGACTCATGTAGCTGGACAACACAAACACAAATCAAGAAGAAAATGAGTGCAAAATGAAAAGAAAGAGCTTTAAAATGACTGAAAGAGGCACAAAATGAACCACAAAGGCCCACAAACACAGCAGAAAGTTCTCCGTCATCGTTATTATTATTATTATCAGTCAGGAGGTCGATCAGTGATCCGTCTGTGGAGTTTCACAAAGGCCTGCACAGCTCAGGATGGAATAAAAAGATAACTTACTGGGAAGCAACGACTCGAACAGGAACAAAAAGATGATCAAATTAATTAAAAAAGAACCTGATGGAGACTCGAACAGATCAAACCACAGGAAGAGACACAGAGTTACTCAAATAATAAGACACAAAATGAGCACGAAGAGAATCAGAACAATGTGACTCAAGTTCTGGATAAAGAGACCGAGATGAAAGGAAAAATGAACACGGATGCTGTAAAAAGAAGCAAAATCACTTAAATAGATGCTAAATCGTCACAAAAAGAGGCAAAAGTGCCACAAAAAGGTGCAAAAATCATCTCAAGAAGAAGCCAAGTTACCACGATGAACACACAATCACCAGATGGTACGGGTGTATGCTCAGGAATGATGTCAGTGGTTCTGATCCGTCCAGAAGGAAACGAGCAGGTCACAGGGATTCATTCTGCTGCCGACGCTCACTGCTTATGATGCTCTCTGATTTGTAATCGGACTTGTTGAAGTGAGCATCGGTCTCAACAGATCGCTCTGATCCCGGACTGAACACTTCGTTGCTTCATCGCAGACGCTGGTCCAGGATCAGTTGTGTAACACAAAAGCTGCGTAAAGCTTCGATCGGCTCAGAATAGAAGCAGATTCAGTCTGAGCTCACAGACACTTCATCGGGTTGGATTTAACCCCAAACACCTGCAGCGTCTGAGCGAAACACACACGTTTGAAGCCCTAAATTATAATATCCTGCAACACCATGAAGAAGGACCTCGGATACGTCAGTGTGACGCTGGAATGATGGAAATCAGAGAAACAATCTGCAAAAAAATCTTTATTTATTGTAGGAAAACAAAGTCAAACCTGGAATCAGCAACATGTCCACAGATGTTACCGACATACTTCAGATATTTAACACTTTCACACAAGGTGTCTTCATAGCTTTTGAGGAGTTTGTCATTTTCGACCGTTTCCAGCCGTTCTGAACACTTTTTAAAAACAGATTTTGAGTCAGTGTGAATATTTTGTTTGTCGTTTTAGTCGACGAATGTGAAGCAATCTTGGATCATTTGTGTTCAGTCGATTTGGTCAAATCTTGAGCCATTTTGAAAATGAATAACGACATTTTTACAGCATCTAAAATTTCCATATTTACCACCTGAGAACTCCGAATTTTTGTCATGGGAGTGTTAGTCGCTGCTGAGTCGGTCGCGCCTTCGTGGTTTCAGCAAAGAGCGCAGAATCTGTTCAGAGCAAAGTGTTTGTTTTTGGTGAATTTTTGGTGAGTTTGTTGAAATGTCAGGATTTTAAGCTCAGACTGTTGAAAATCTTCTGGACTCTGACAAATGGTGTCAGTTCTGGGATGTTCTGGACACATGTTGGTGGTCAGAGGATTAAAATGACCTCATTTATGTAGTTTTATCATCGCATCTGAAAAAGATGCCAGAATTAACAGACGCTACAATATAAAGGCTCCTCGCTGTAAATATACTAATATGATGGTGTGATTTTTTTCTATCGAGTATAA